GAAAGAGAGTATTTTAGAGGAAATGTGCGTGTGTGGGGGGAGCCTGGCAGTGTGTAGCCTCAAAAACAAAGTCCACTTGCAACCTTTCAAAAACATCCTCAGTAAGACTGATCTGTTATGACAGCACGTCAGCATTCACAAGATCTCTAGAGACAGTAGTATCCTTTATCCTACTAAACACTGCAATCTAACTTTTTTTATTACTGTGTTTGACTAGCTGTGGAAAACAAAGACCTATAACATTATTTCTAGCTATACTTATGCTCTTGACTATTGTTAGACTTCATGAGTGTGTATGTGACAGAGACTGTGTTTATCTTTCCTATTACTTTGGCAGTAATGGAAGCAATACAATCAAAGTCAAATGTCTATGGTTTTCAGGCATATAAATTTTTAAAGGAACTAAACAATCAGCAGTTTGAAACTTTGTTTTATGGACTTCCGCAGACAACTGAAGTGAAGCCCAAACACCTACTCAAGTTCCAGGGACAAGTGTTTGCTGAAGGTCAGACTTCTTGCATTAACTCTATTTTGTCCTGCCATGACAACACAGACAGTTTCTCAAGATTAGAGAAACAGAAGGTAGTATTTAAATTTAACATTAATTTCTGTGGCATGAAGCTCAATGGCATGAAAATAAACAAACAAAAATCATCAACTTTTTTTTAATGGTACAGTTTAAATAGTCTTAAACCAATAAAATTCAGCATAACAAACAGAAAAACAAATATGGTACTCTGGCTCCACATTAGCAAATTTATTGATACACAGGAGTTTATCCAAACCATCCAAATTGAGGTAAACTTCCTCCTTCCATCCATTTTAAAACCTGGGACTCCTGACTGAGCTGTTATTCCTAATAAGCACATGGATTCTGTCAGAGAATGACATACAAGTCATATGTTACGTGGTGCACGAGCACATGAATACTTCTAGGTAACAGAAGGTGGGAGCTCCCGCTTGGTCAGGGCTGCTGGCCCAGATTAGATGAATGAGGTGAAGGACCTAAATCCCTGTGCAGAGATTTAAAGGCTTCCAACATGAGACAGGAGCGTTCCAGAGATGGAGAAAGCTGTTCCCTGAAGAAGGCAGAAGTGCTATACTGCCTGATAGGAAGGAGAACAGAATTTACTGTATATCTGATAGTTTTGGGTACAATTACTGAGCAATTTCTGCCCAATTGCTTTTCTTTGATGGAAAGTGAGTTTCAGATTATCTTTACACCAGTTTTGCACTCATCCTCCTGGCTGACAGTAGAACTATGATAGAGTTACACAGCTGCAAATAAAATGAAGTTTCGCAACCAAATTTTGCAAATAATTATAATACATCCTATGGGGAGGATAATTTCTCTGTTATTTTGATGTTAGATCTATATAATCCAGAACCCTAAAATTTAAAAGAATACCTGAAAATTTACTGCATGTAACATCTAAGTCATTTTATACAAGAAGTATGAAATTTCTATAAATATATACATGCAATAGAAAAAGAACTGCCTACCATATTTTGGAAGAGAGAGGGGGAAAAAAGGGCAGAGTTAGTTGGAAAGGTCTGACCTAATTTGCATCAAACTACACTTACATCATTCTAGAGTGGCTATAGAGGTAAAATTTCTTTCAAAAAATGAATGATAAAAAAATGCATTTGCTATGTAGACACAGATTCTACTGCATGCAGCTCATGAAACACTTTGGGAACCTGAGGGTGCTTGGCAAAGTCCTAGTAATACAAGAACTGTACACAACCAGGTGGCATCTGTCACCTCTCAGGATCGATGCCCTGGGCCAGCTCAGCACCAGCACTGCGTACAAACCAAAACAACAGCATGCCCTGCCAGAGGGCTGGGTGATGGTGTTGCTCGGAGGCCACATGCTATTCAGGCTGGCATTGCTCTCATCCAGCTCAATGTTTTGTGCAACAACTGCAGTATGACTTAATCTTTTTTTTTTTTTCTATTTACTCATTTTAGAACAATGATCACCTTATTATCTAAACTGCATTATATTATATATGCCAATAAAGATCCTGGCTCTCAATCCTACCACTATTTGCTTTTCCCAATACATCACAGTTTAGTAATTTCCAGCTAAATGATGCAACTCATATATTGTCAATTTATATCTTAAGAGGCCAAGGTGAACAGAAATAACCAGAAGACATAACACATATGCCATAGAGAATTGAGAGTCTCAGCCTACAATATACAAAAGAGGAAGAGAAAGGGAAAGAAAGGGAAGCATCCTTTTATAAACATTTTCCAGAGACAAACTTTAAAAAAAAGACAACATAGACAATATATTATAGATGATTTACTGCTTGCAGAAACAGCAGTCATGTGGACAGCTTTGAAAACAAGAGGCATATAATCATTTTGTAAACCTGCTTAGATGGGTGTTCCAGGAAAGGAAGGTTGCATGACAAAAACAGTGAAATAAAATTAAAATAGATTGATAAGACCAGTATCTCTAGAGCAACGCACTGTGGTAAGCAGATAGCAGTAACAGAGAGAAAGGAAGCAGAAGGGGAGGGTGCTACAGAGGGGATGCAGCTTTGCAGTGCCTGATGCCAGAACTATGAACTTGAGAGAGCAAAACAGGGAGCCAGTGCAGGGCGGGGAGAAAAACCGGTAAGGGTGATAAACTTAGAAGATGAGTTTTGAATGAACCAAGAGCAGAGGTGGTGTTTAGAAGGGTCCTGAAGAACATAAAGGAAACTAGTACTGTGTTACTACCCAAAACACGAGAAATTCAAAAGTTATTTTTTTAACCTGCATTCTACTATTAGGCATTTATTCAAATATATTTGCAAAGTGAATTTTACTGTTTCTAGTTAAGTACAAACAAAGTCAAAATAAAAAAATAAAAGGAGATCAGTAACATACCAGTTCCATTAACTGTTTTAGCTGACCTATCTCCTCCGGAAGGGAACCTAGCTTATTGTTACTTGCAATTAAGACTTTTAGAGGAAGACCACACAGGCAAGCTGGTAAAGAAGAAAGCTGATTTCGACTGCAATAAAACAACAAAAAAAACCCAACCAGTAAAAACACCAGTGACATTTTACCGCACACTCACATAAAGTCTGAGAGTTGTAAAATTCCGTCATTTTGATGGGTTAGATTTTATGTAGACAAAATTTAAATTTTTTGAATGGCAGTCAGAGAACACTTGCACATCAAAAATATCTGCATTACTGACTAAACAGTATTGTGGAATTTACCACTCTTAAACCAGCTATTTCCCTTCCAAATGAACACAGGAAAGTCAACTGAGACAAGTATTTAAACATTTCTATGGTTTTATGTGGCAGTATAGTGAATGTCTTTTGTTCCAACTGAAAGACAAATAAATAAATGACAAATAAAATGGTTATTTTCTCAACTACTTTATAGCACATTTATAGTTGAAGATTATTTGGTACTTGTTGTTCTATGATTTTATGGTATTAATCCAGGTAAATACAGCAAAAATGTCCTTAACCATCAATGGTTCATTTCTTCCCAAGACTTATATTGAGCCATTTTATCTCTGTATCTTACTTTTTTCCTAAAATTGATAAAACAATTGTTTGAAGTGACTGACATGTGCCATTCTATTCTTCATAGCATATTTCTGGGGGGGGGGGGGGAAAAAGCGAGCAGAAGATTTTCGTGAAGAGTACTTGCAAGGAAAGGCAAAATTTGGTGGAAACTTTCAAAATATTTAGGTTCTCATTCTAGTAACAATTACTCAAGAAGCTAGAACTTAAAGATGACAAATGCCATGACCCTTTGTGATGTCCAAATGATTAAAAATATTAATTTCTTGTGATTTGTGGATCAATTCCCAGAAGAAACTTTAAGCTCAACGGAATAACACATTAATTACTGTCTTTCCTAGAATATTTGAAGGTTTTCTTAAAGTAGAACTTTTTACTTTTTATGGGTATTAACCTGTAGGAAAACAATGAACAGCAACTTAAAGTGGCACCCCAGTAAGAACTATTTTAGTTACCTTCTGCATAAATGTTAAGAGATGTTCGAGAGAGCAAATATGCATATCTGAACTCTGAAAACAGGTGGCAAAAATTGCCCTGTGTAATTTCAGTAAGAGTTGCAACATCGAATTGAAACAAATGGAAACAAAAATCAAAATTCCACAAGTCTCAAAACATTTCTTCCTCAATGGCCAATCCAGTGGTCTGCTAAAAAACTGCATATAAAGATGCACATTCATGCTCCGAACAACAGTCTCAAAATGTTTTACAACGCAAGCTATCATCATATCTCTGTTACACAGGCTAATTAGTTTGTCATTCTGGCTTTTACAATGCCTTCATATAGAGCTGTATCTACAGGCAATGAGGTTTTGCACTACTGCTTCCAATAAAATGAAAAATGTAGTCAGTTGTTCCAGAAACACATAAAATGCAGACAAAAAAAAAAACTTTACACATTTGCAAATAAACAGAAAATGTGAAAAAGTTAAACTTACCTCAAATTTAAGTAAGTTAGCATTTGCAAGTTCACTATGGCATCTGGTATCATTTTAATACAATTGTGGTACAGATTTAGTGTTTCCAGTGACACAAAATGGCACAACTCTGTAGGAACCTCAGTTAATCTATTCTTGGATAAATCTGAGAAGAGAAAAAAGGTACATTTTTTGAATCATCAGAAAGATATACTTTGAAAAGCCACACTTCCTTATTAAAATAAATGAATAAATGTAATCATACAGTGAGACAGCAAATTAAGATAATGTTTTTATTATGCAAAATAAAACTAGTGCTAACATTTACAATCTTGAAATGGAACAAACTGCGTATAAAAGAGCAAAGATTCAATTAAAATTTATTCAGTCTAATAAAAAGTAATTATTTGCAGGACTCAATATGCTGGGGAAATAGTTGCAAACAGAACCAAGTATAGGTTCCAAAGCTCATATAATATACCCAAAGATCTAACTGATACACAGCTAGACATCTGCAAATAATGATAGTGTTTAGAGAAAATAAATAACAAGGATTGTATCTTTAATTTCTTAAAAAAAAAAGATTATTTAAACTGACCTGTATTTCATAGATCTTAACCCACTACAAAAGAATGTTAGCTATAAAAAAAATACTGAAGACCTTCAGGAACGGATTTGATATATGGTATAAGTACATACAAGACAACAATGACAGATTTGAAATCCCCCAAGTGAGTGCTTGTATCCACAGAACAAAAGCTTCTGATTTTTAACCAGTTGTTCATTCTTTCTCATTTTAAGCACACCAGCACAAAGGAAAAAACAGTAGGAAGAAATGTTACTGAGCTTTCTTCCTTAACTACCACAGTAACAAAAATGAGGTGCCATAATACTGATGTGAGCTCAAGACATAAAATAATCATGCTTGCCAGAGTTCAACAGCATTAACTGGGTTCAAAGAAATGTTTAAACAGTGTTGCAGAACAAACATCTATCATCAGAAACTGCACAAATGCAACCTAACGGTACTACCAGATGGAAGAACAGTCACTTGTTTTAAATGGAAGGAACAGGAATGTACCTGGGTAAAAAGTGAGATGTCTGATGGGAAAGATACAAGGAGAAATGGAACTTTATGATCTCCTCACCTCTCTACTGCTGCTATTTTAAGCCTCCTCCCCAATCCTTCAAAGCTTAAACTACATAAAAGGAAAAGCAGCCAAAGTACAGCAGACACATTTCCAGAGCACCAATGATCTGACTCCTCTCTTTAGGGCCATAAAGTAATTTTTTTGGTTTTGTGAACAAACAGGCAGAAGACTTAAGATCTTTTTAACTTTCTTTCCAGTTCCAGACTTGTCAGTTTGCTGTGTAGACACACAGCTTGAGTTCAAAGCTATTGTCAGTAGGAAGGTTTTATCATTTTTATTTTTGTTCCCATCTCCTGCAATGCAAGCTGAAATTCAGCGCGCTCTATTCCCCTTGTCAGCTTCCACTTTGCTTCACTTCATTGCTCCTGCCAAAAAGTTGGTTTCACTATTCCATCCTCTACCAAGATAACAGCAATGGGCTACGAGTGTAGGAACTGAGAGCAGCCCTGCGGACCCAAATGGCAGTATGGTTGAATTGAGCAAGTCAACCAAAATTATTCACTTCTAAGTTACTATACAACAGCAGTGCTTGAACTGCTCTGCTGTCTCTTTGATGGCAGTTAGATGCAGCATTACCTCAGCTTCTCCTTTCTGTCACTTCTGCCATCAAACTAAAGCATTCCCTATTTGAGTTAATGTTATTACTGTTTCAAAGGGGAAGAAAGCTCTTCAATGTTCCTGTTTTAGTGCTTTAATCCTCTACTGCTTTCTATCTGTCATGAGAGTACTTGTTTACTAACATGGTATTCCAAAAAAATTACCACTGGTTCCCTCTCCTGCTGCCTTTCTAGCATGTTTATTATCAGATATACACAGAGGACTGCCACAACTTTTTGAATCATGCAGGGGATCTTCATACTTTACCATCCGATTTCAAAGAAAGCCTTCCCTTATATAAACCACGATTTCTACAGTGACATCACCACGTAGATACTGCTCTGGGTTCCTCTTTTAAAGGGGAAGGAGCAGCAAGATCCAGAAGACTGATCTTTAGGCCTAAGCTGAAGACAACCTGCATGGCACTGGATGGTACACGGAGAGTGACCTCTCACCCTTCATCCAATCCTTCTCAAGTGATACACAGATCAAAAACTGAACGCGGTTACTTCTTCTCAAGCTACGAAAACTGCAGCCTACCAACTAAACTTCATCTTCATGCCTGTTCTCATTTACCTTCACATCAAAGGGTTAAGCCTTCCCACAACATTTGACTTACCCTTGAAAAATTCTAGTACCTCAAAAAAGTGGAACAGCAATTAGACTGACCCTGCTCCTATAACAGACATTACTATGACTATAAAATGCTTTTTAAAATTTATTTTATTTTATTACTATGCTTTGTTCTCAAGGGCTTTAACTGTTAATCTGAAGGACAAAACAAAAAGCCTGCAGATAACAGACAAATTCCCTTCTGTCATCCTCAGGACCGTGGATTCTAGGACACGCTATGTACACAACAACGGAATTCAAGAATTAACTTAGAACCATGGAAGTCAATTGTTATTGTCTAGTTATCACAGTTTAAGATTAAGATCATTTCAACACTTGTATCTATTGTTGCTTCCTAAATAATAAAACCCCAATTCTATTCACAGTATAAGGCAGAGAAATAAAAACTATACATTTAGTTTAATACCATCGTAACATAACTTAATAGAAAAAGCAGGTTTGCTACCATAATTTACTGACAAGAGGCATCATTAATACCAAATCTGAATGTCTTTGAGAAACTGAGTACTAGAATGGAATCTCACATACAGAATGCTTGTCACATTTTTTAACTAGTGGCAATAATTTTTGTCAAAAAAACAGATTTCCCTGATCAAATGGAAGCAAAAGAAAAAATATACTGTTTTTATTCAATCCTAGAATGAATGTGAGCCTCTGAACATGATGCAGCTGTGAAGAAAGCCTAGCAGCTTTCAGCTGTCTCTGAAAATTCCACACAGAAAAGCCCACGTCTTCAGAAATGAAAATAGCCTAACAATTTTATACTGTACCTTAAAAGCATATGTAAACATGTACAGAAACCTCTGAAATTTACATAATTATTTTAACATTTTATGCACAGGTACTTTTGCCTCAAATTACTGCATCACATAATTAGTCTGTATATATTTCAGGTTTAGTTTGATACTTAAGTTCTAGAATAAAATACAAGGGTTAAGCCTTAACAAAGCTACA